TTAGCTTTACAAACGAGGGTGCTTTAAAAAAAATCTTAACAAAACTATACAGTGTACAAATTACTGTCTACAAGGTAGGTGGTTCCTTAAGAAGATTCTCCGTTCTTCTCTACTTGCAGCTTCACAGGTTCATTCACATATTTTAAATGGAGCTGCCCACCTGAACGCACAACTATATTGCTATATTTAATATTTTGCCATGTCTTTATGTACAGTCTCCTTCACTGCCTTTTTTCCTTAGTCAAGCCTCACATGTTCATGTCATTCTAGGGGAAAACACACTTCAGTGGCACTGCCAAGAGGCCAGGGCTGCAAAGCAACTGAATAAAGGTGGAACAGTGCACATAGAACGGGGTGGCTTGGTTTAGTCAGAAGATACTTCCTGGTGAAGGAGGAGGCTCAGACTAGGTTTGAGTTTGCAACATGTCATTAAACATCTGAATTCTCAGCTTTTAAGAAAAGTTAAGAATAAAAAGGTGCAGTTCCAATGAGCCTTTATATTAGCAACAGAGGCAGAAAACCCCACAGAGATCACCCTCCTCAGAGCACTTAATGCATTTGATGCTGTCAGGTCAATGGCCTGGATCATCAAATAATTAAAAGGAGGGGAAAATAAGATTTCATGGAGCAAGTTTGTCCTTTTAAAATAGCATCTCCCCTTGTGTGTATAAATCCATTGCTTGTATACAATAGATCAGGATTATTTGAAAAAGTTCAGTTTAGACTGTCCACTATACAGGGATCAGTATTTTTAAACTATTGCACTTTAAAGTCTGAACTCATCTTTATTTCATCCTGTTTTACTGTCCAAGTTTAAATAGCATCCTACTGAATACCTGCACAATTGAAATCCTCCATACAACTACATCATCCCTATCTGATTATTAAGTGATTTCCTGAGAGAAGATGGTATGATATCTGATAAGGGAGTCCCAGAAAGATCTGCTTGAGCATTTCAGTTATTTCCAGCAGCCATACAGTTAGTGAATTAATTCACTTACAATTGGGCTCAGAAAAAGAGAGCCAACATATAACTGGTTGAATTCCTAATTCAGCTAAAACTAAATCTTCCAAATGATATATATATATATATATATATATATATATATATATATATATATATATATATATCCCTGCATCTCTGAAACTTCCAGGAAGCCTTGCAGATGCAACTGTCTTAGAGAGTTTTACTGATGTGACCACAAAAATGCTATTGTTTTAGACACAACATTGGAAGTCGGTAAAAAATAAACTCCAGAGAAAGACAATGTTCCATCAGATGGTCTTCCCATGGCTATCACTACTTTAAAAAGGATTCAAGAAGGAGAAAACAACAATTAAAATAGCATTCACCATTACTGGTGATACAAGTGGAAACTCAAGAGAAATGTAGTCTGAAATCTAGGAATTCAACTCCACTAATAAAGTGAGATTTCAGAACCATTATTATTATTAGAACTGATTTTTTAAAATAAAAGCCGTGGCCACTGCTTACTAAGTGGCTTTTCAAACAGAAGGCCTTTTTAGTAGCTGTTTGTGATTCAGCACTAGGATGCTGCTGTGAAGAAAAAGACAAAAAAGCAAACAGTCATGATTCATAGCCATGTTCACTTAAAAACACAATGCATCTAAGGTGGGCTGGGAAAGCGCAGCAAGTCCAGAAGTTAATTTCATTCCCTGGAACCTTGCAGGGGCTACATGGATTGCCAAAAAAGCAAAACTAAACCAAATACAGAACAGAAGTGGCTGGAAATCTACTTCTGTTTTTTTTTAATGCTCCTGGTAACATTGGAGAGGAGCTTTGCTACCTATTTAAATAGAAGGCAGATTTCTTCTCCTTGCACACTTCCAGGAAACACAATTCACCTTTTGGTGGTGGGAAAGGGAGCAGCTGAGGAAGTTGAAAGGGCACCAAAGCATACTGGGATGGGGATGAACTTTGTTCATTCCTGGCTTCAAGAGTTTTATATTTTCTGGATAATTTTCTCTCAAATCATTTTATTTAAAAGAGGAATTATTTGAATAGAGTATTTCTTCATAACTTGATAATATTGTATAAAACTCCATTTAAGTGTTTATCGGCTGAAGTGCTCAAAGAAGTATAAACTTCTTTTAGATGTTGTGATCCAGTCTTTTGAATTAGAGCATTAAGACTCAATCTCTTCCTTAGCACCCTTTATATAAAATGTAAGAGTATGGCTAAATGCTGCAGCTAGTCATATGGAAATGGGACAGCTATGCCTCAATCACTTGAACTCTGAAGTGTTCCCACAACTGCTTCTACAGACAGAGAAGTCTGGAATAGACCAAAGTGATTGCTCATTCCTTTTATTCCTGCCAGTGTTAGGAACATAATGGGGAAGAGAGAGTTGCATGTAACAGACTAAAAGCAGTAGATCCTGTCCACAGCATATATGTTTCAGCCTTGCTGTGGGCAGAGGTGGGATATGGGGACAGTCCTTCATGATGGTGGGATCACTTTTCCAGAAGTTATTGAAGCAGAGCTTGGACAACTTGCTGGCAGGGTTACTGTTGCTGCACCATACACTTAGCCAAAAGTTGGACTCAAAGGTCCCCTTTAACTCTACTATTCTCAAAGAAGGAGTAGTGACTGATGTTCATGTGCCAATGATTGCAATCTATAGTCAGGCTGTGAAAGAAAAGAGCACTTGATAATCACAAGCTACTTGTTTTTCTTTGTTCCTGGGCATTTCAGCTGAAATACAAAATATAATGTGATGCCTTTGGAGGAAAAGTTTTTATCGGTGTATATTGGGTGTGCAATCATTAACTTCAATTTATGTTTTGTTTAATGCCATGATGAAGGGATGATGCATCTTTTAAAAGGCCTTTTGCTCTCTGTGGGTCTCAATGTCTCAAATTGGAAAAAAAATATTTTTTTCCTCAACTCAAGTCTGCCTTCAACAGAATCTATTATTTATTTATTTATTTACCATTGTAATCATTATTACTACTATTATTTTTAAACCAGAAATGCGTTCAGCTTGCACCCCAGGTGGAAAGTTAAAAAGAAGTCACCTTTTTTGAGATTTTTATCACAGTAGGCAGAAGAGTCGCTTTGCAGCCCTCACCTAGCCAATGGTGCACTGCTTCACAGCTACACTGTCAAGTGTTAAAAATCCTCCCCACCCACCCCAGAATATATAGATATATGTATGTATAAAAAAAATCCCCTGTCCATCTCTTAGTACACAAAAGGACCTCATCACACTGCAAAAATAGCAGTACCCACTTTGGTCAATTAAAACAAACAAATGAACAAACGAAAAAGCATACATCAATCTTTTGTCTTTTAAATCTGTGTACTTACCTATAATAACCAATACAGCTAAAAGCACTACCTACATAGGCAAAACTTGGTATTGCATAATTCGTATAAATTTGAATCCCCTCCCCCCAATATTAACTGGAAGATGAAAAACATGAAAGATTAATAGAAAAAACACCAAAATACTGAAAATATTGCTGGTCGATTACAATTTTTAAGCGGCAACTATACACAGCCATGATATGCTTTATAAATGTGAGATAAAGTTATAACTGCTTAAAAAATCCATGATGTCACTTTTTTTTCGTTTTCCCATCTGGAGTACAAAATATTTTTGTCATAAAAATGGTAAAGATTTAAAATGATAATAAATGCAGCAAAACAAGTGTAGTGATGTCACTTTTTAGATTTCAAGGCAAGGCACGTTATGTGGACATTATAACTTCGTGCAAATTAGGATTACTGGATAGAGTAGGTTTAATTAATTTTTTATAGAGACATAGAGGCAAAATGTATCTGCCCATGCACATTACTGTCAGTATGAGAATTATCTGTCAACAAGGCTAATTTCTGAGAGCACCATGCAAGTTTTCAGCACCCTGTCATTAGGCTTTTTCAAAGAGTGCATTTTTTAAAAAATATATTTGACCCCCCCTCCCCCCAAAACAACCTGGCATTTCCATTTGTAAACTGTAAGCTTTGCCCCAGTGACATGGATTTACCTCTCTCCGTCTCTGTGATGAAGATTTTATAGAACCTTTCCTATTCTCTGTGGGTTCTCGATTCAACCAGTAACTTTAAATAAATAAGATACCTCAAAGGAGGCAGAAGCTAAATCAACATAAGTGCTGTGTTTCAATTAATTTCTTTCTCTCAAGTACATGATTTGTCTTGAATTAATTAATGCCTTTTCATGCCCCCCTTTCAAAACTGAGGGAAAAAATAAATTTGCTTGAAATACTTTTGAAAGTCTTCTTGTTTTTTTAATCCCCTCAATTTAGAGTCCAAGGGCTAAAGGACTTATAACAATGATCCCCTTTAGATATAATTTTAAAATTGCACTTGCCTCTAAATGTTTTCCTTTGTGGGGGAAATTATTTTTAGTGTCTTTCTCTTTTTGTTTTTACTGTCATATGAGACAATAACACTTTTTTAAAACCTAAAGTGAGGCATTAATTCTATAAAATGCCTGTTTATTTAAATGTCTTCCTGAAAATTTTCAAACAGGTTATGCATTAGGAAACATCTGGGTTAAGGGCCAAAGTCAAATAAATTTGAGTTGATAACTAAAGGCTAAATGGTTTCTGTTTTTTTTTCCTTTAAAAAAAAACTTTTAGAAATCAGAGCACTGAGAAAGGTTGGCTCATTCATGGCCCTCATTCTCCTGCAGCTCTATGGATGCCTCCTAGCCTTTGTTTTGAGAGCTAACTAGGAATAGTGATCCCATGCGTAAACAACAAGAATACTAAACCAATAAACTAGCTTATCATGCAAATATTAAGGCATCTAGAAAGTCAGTTAAAATATATTGTCAGAGACAAAACATCTATTTCCCAGTGGATTTCATAGAACAAAGGCTACGTAGGAGGAACATCTTTCTACTCATCAGTGAAATATTGTCGACCCTTTTTTTAAAAAAAACAACACATCATTACAGTTTCAACCTTAAGGGAATTAGTGATTGTAAGTGCTGCAATTGCTGGTCTATGTTTCTTCTTTCTTCAGGTTCTTTTTCTTCTGCGTTTTTTGTCCCGTCTTCCTTTCTTTTTTATAGTATTTTGTTCAGTTTTGATCTCCCTCAGTTGCTTGTTTCTGCTTGAAGGAAAGGCTCTCCAATTAGGTTCAAACCATAATTCTGGACATTTGTGGGCAGGATTGGTGTCCTGTTTGATACTTGAAAAGGAACCAAGCTAGCCCAGGTACCAGGACTGTTGAATGAAAAGAAAACAGAGAGAGAGAAAGAGAGAACAGAATAAAAAGTTATGACGTTGCAACAGCAGCAGCAACTTAAACAAAAATGAACATTTGAATAACAATCCAACCCAACCTCATACCATATCATTCCCATACCACATTTCACAAACCAATGTAAATACATACATACAATTTGAGAAGACTGAACAATTCTAATAGATGAGAATTAAACCTAAACCAGTAAGGGTTTAGATGGAGCACATATTAATTACCAAACCAGAGTAATCTCACCAAATGATTGATTCCTGATGTGTAGAAGATTATACTAATATAACAGACACAAGTATTAGTACCAGTTATTTACTTGTTATATTGAAAACTAATGGCCCTTCTACACTGCTATATAATTCTGAATATCAAGGCAGATAATTATCTGCTTTGAACTGGGTTATCTGAGTCTACACTGCCATATAATCCAGTTCAAAGGAGACAATCTGAATTTTATACAGCTGTATAGAAAGGGCCTGTGAGAAGATACCAACCCAAGTATGCATGGAAAAACAGATTATCTAACTTTTTTTCAATTGTTTACTTTAGGAATTGAGCTTTTAGGAATCAAGCTCAAATTTCATCTGATTTAAAAAAAATTAAGGGCAGTAACATTCTAATTATTATACTAGACAAAAACAAATATTATGAATAAAGAATAAACTAGTATTAAAAGTAATATATTTATTTGTGCATATAAGTTTTGGGGAGGAAGTAATGCTAAATGAAGATAAGGATTGTTGTTATAGCATAGCAAACAAAATTGAGTTTAGATACTTATCTAAGCCTCTCAAACCTCCCATCTTATGACTGTGTTGAAAATGCACCATGCAACATGTTTATCAATATTATTTATGACTCCTCAGGGATATGTAAATCTTGTATCCTAACACTAAGCAGATCTCACAAGAATTTTATAAGCCTCTGACCAGCAGGAAGTTGGTTAAGCTGAGAGTTACACAACATTGGCTTTCTGTTTACATTAAGTTTGAATGTGTACAGGTTGTATGGAAACAGGATTGGACTAAAAAAAAACCCAAATCTAAAAATAGCATTAGCTGAGATATACAAATGTTTTTACTAGACAATATACCAATAAGTCCTGTACCTCGTGTTAGAATTCTGTAGCCAATGAATTGATAGGCAAGTTACCTGTTGTTGCTGCTAAAATAGGGTATATACATAGTTACACTTTCAATGGAGACATCACCCAAAGATGGCTCTTTCTGGTGAGTGCCTCCACTTCCATGTTTAGAATAATATACCATGTATACTTGCTATCATTACAACCTTCTATGACCTTACTGATGTAGGAAGTGCAGGTAGGAATATATATAGCCTAAAGGTAAGTCGCTTGCATGTGTCTTCAAGTGGTTGCTTGTTTTACTCTTTGTAAGTGCAGAGTTCAAGTAGAACTGCACAAACACTACAAGAAGGGAGTATGATTGTAACATAATGGCTGAGTTCAGACAAACCACCAAGCCAGAGCTTGGAAGATTAGAAGAAAGCCCTATCCTTATGTGTTCCTCCTTTCTTCATACATATGGCTTAATAATGATGCATTAATGCCTGATCTGAGAGTTTACTGTTGCACCCGTTTGTGAAACCAGGATTTGCTTTCAAATTCAGATAAAAGCCAGGGTGTTTCAAAAAGTACAGCATTCAGTTGTGTGGTTAGGATGAGAACATATGTATAAAAGCCATACTCATATAAGAACGTACAGATACAGGAATCATGTTGGATTTTCCAAACTATGAATTAACAAATATAAAGCAGTTCAAAAACATACAGACAGCACATTGCCTTTACAACATGGAAACTTTTAGCTTAGTATCTCATGGCATGTTAAACATGTTAACTGACCCTAAATTGCCTTCACATCTGAAATATTTCTGGATGCTTGCAAAATTACTTGTAGCAGGATCGGCAGGTTCTAATGGATCAAGGGCTATTTTCCACTCCCCTGAACACCCATGGCCACTTTTATTTTGCATCCTGGAATATCTCCAAAAGGCTCATCACACCCCACAGCATCTGGGAGAAGATGGAATTGGCCAATTCAATGTAGAAGCCTAAGCAAGAAGTGAAGGTACCATCACCAGGGCTTTGAGGGAAGGGGCAGCGTTTGTTTCTCCTGTTGCCTCTGGCTCATCTCCTATGGACTCACTCCTGGCAGAACCGAGGCCCTGACCCTGCAGCTCAAGACCAGCAACAACACCTGCTTGCCCCAGAGGCTGGGGCATAAAATGAACCATGCCTGCAGTGCCTCAGGCCTAAGCAAGAAGTGAAGGTACCATCACCAGAGGCTTTGAGGGAAGAGGCAGCGTTTATTTCCCTTGCTGCCTCTGGCTCAGTTTCACTCAGCTGCTGCTGGACTCTATCTTGACTGGCCTCCATTTCAACATCCTTGGGTCAGCACAGAGAGACCAACATTTGTTTCTTCCAGCCATGGCCCTGATTCACCTGAGCCCTCTCTTGAGTGAACACTGCCACCCCGGTTTGGCATCTCATTTTCCCCCTGATGGAACATCTGCTCTTTTAAAACTATATTAAATATGTTTTATTGCATTTATATGTTTTATAATTTGATATGTTATATTTATTATTTGTTGTTGCACTTATTGCATTTATATGTTTTGTTTTATAATTTGATGTGTTATATTTATTAATTGTTGTATGATGCGGCATTGAATGTTGCCATAATCTGTAAGCCGCTCTGAGTCCCTTTCAGGGTTGAGAAGAGCAGGGTATAAATACAGTAAATAAATAAATAAATAAATAAATTCCCTCTGCTGCTGTCTGATTTAGAAAAACATGTATTTGGGGCATTTTTAAGAAATAAGCTAAAATGGAGCATCTATCCCAGTTTCCAAAAATGCAGAGTTTTCTGCTTGGAAAATGTGTTATTTTCTGGGACCAATAAGGATCCTAAGTAGTTATACTAGATATTAGCATGCATTTCACCATGCATTTCGCCTATCCTTGACTTCTAGGATAGTTGCAGTTTGAGTGACTAGTAAGATACCCAGTGAAGTTATTACTTGAGATTATAGTCCCAGGCATATATTTCTAAACAAGATTAATAAATATTCCATGTCAAAATGCAGGACAAATGAGGAAATTGTCAGCATCCTTGTCCCTGAAAGATTCTGAATAAATAATGAATAACAAATTGCTGATAGTATCCTACTTAATGTCTCATGTCATCTTCTAACACTAACAAAATGACAACTATCAGTCCTGGAGCTATATTCAAGAATGAAGAAAGTAATGGAAAGAATATGGAAGATATATGTATACCACTTCATACAATTTCAGTTGTGTCTCTTCTCTCCAAATGCTTCTAATACACAATATCAGCATTAAAGCTGTGCCTTTTTATAGTGGTAGTTTTCTATTCTTTATTGTAACTGTGATTCTAATATAGATGGCAAATGCAACTTCATTAATCAGCTGTGCATTTTTATTGTAAAGAGAAAAAGAGAGCTTAGGCAGTAACCCTTCTGAAGACCATGAGGGGTTTTTAGATGTTTCATGTATTGGGATATTAATGAAACATTGTAAGACTACCCCATACATGTAGATGGACCGGTTGTCATGTGACAACCACTGCTGGTATTTGATTGTAATTAACACCAACAAAAATTTCTGCCACCCACCAACCCTAGTTTGAAAAAAAAGTGATTTGATAAGGGTCATTTAACTTCTTTAGGAGGTTTTTTAAGGAAGCTCTTTAGGAAGTTTCTGGGTGCCACTGTAGTTCCGGTAAGTACACACACACATATATAATATAAATTAGACAAGGGTGAAAAATTATATTAGACACCGCTCCCTGTCCCTGAAATTTGGTGCTCATTGTTCTATGCGTATTGGGGATCAGAAACCTTATTTACTTACCTACATATCTTTGAAGCCTGGAAATCCTATCAATACCACTGGCTCCTACAATCCCTGCGAACATTCTTTGTGATGGTGCTTATCCCTCCCTCTTGCTGTCATATACATGGACTCCACATGTTTGTGCACAGGGAGTCATAATTTTCACACATACAAAGTATGAATCCTTTAGTCTCTTGTAGAATTATTATCTTCTCTGCTAGCTCAAGACCCAAACCTTAGGTTACTCTGAAATGTTACTTGCCCTGTTAACACTTCTATACCAAATCCCACAAGATATGGATGCCCCCCAAAATAAAAGAGAATGTGTTTACATAAACATTTTTAAGAGCTATAATTTAATTTCTATCTCTCTTCTACCCACAGCAACAATCTTTTATTCCAACTCAAGATATTCAGAATTGCCTTTCCTCCTCCTCCTGTGCTTGAGCTCAGAATATACCCTAAGCAGAAAAAAGGAAAAACTATTTCATAATGTTTCGATAAAAATGATTGTCCTTTCATGGGTCTTCAAATTGCTTTTTCTCCATCCTCTCAAAATAATTTTTAAAGAATTAAGAGTCACAAAAGTACTTGATATTTCTCTCACTCCTACTTTCTGTAATGTTTTACTGCAAACTGCAGGATAAACAATTATAGAAATAATAATTAATGATGTGCTGATCTTGACCAAGAAATGCACTGAAATTTCAATGAAAAGGTTGTTCACATATAAGAAATACTATTTTAATAGACAAAAATAGAACGTAAAATAAAATTTAAGAGGTGATATTCTGAAAGGTAAATGGCACTCTTTTCAGCAGGGTGTTTTTTCTTTTTGCTCCTCCTTCCATAAGAACAGTGCCAAAATCCTCTGACAGAGAACAAAAAATAATTTATATTATCTAGGTGAATAAGAGAATGCTTAGCTCAGAATGAGCAACTAGTTTACTGAGTATTGGGAACTTTTCTAATCCTCTTGAAACCTGAAGTACAACTCCCAAACAACTGAAAGAATTTTTATGCTATAATTTTGTCTGCAGATCCCCCAATTTTGGTTACATTGCAGTTTTTGCCGCTGCTTCCATA